AATTAACTTTTAAATCGTTTAAAATCGATCGCTATGACAACGTCAACAAACAAATCAAATATCGCTTTAAATAATTCACCGAATCGCTATTCACAAAATCACGAATTTCACTAATCACGAATGTCACTAATCACCTTGCGACGTGCGCTTATATACTCTTCGCAAGCGTCGTTTCTAGATTCTTCTAGATGGACCGATTCTAGCATACTCTAGAATGCTCCAGTCACTAGAACATTCTAGAATACGCTAGAACTTAGTGCGTTCGGTAGCACGTTTATAACAATATTTTAAAATGTAGAATTGAAGTTATTATAGCATATGTTAATATCAAATTCGTTAAAAACAGAGTCCCAGTTTTGTACCATTAATGATTCTTTAATAGCTTTTATTGTATTAGATGAAAATTTCCTTGCTACTAAGATGTCATCTTTCTTAGGAAGTGATGTTTGTTTTAAATTAAATTAAAATATGGGATAGTGATCTGATAGATCCACCATTAAAATGCCATTTAAGTGATCTGAGTAAATATTGGTAAATATATTATTTATTAATATGGAAGTTGTTTTGGACACGCGAGTCGGTTGATCAATTAGCGAGTGATAATTGTGAGAATAAAGAATGTTTTCAAAACTGTTTTTACTATGATTCGAGGAGTTCAAGTTTATATTAAAATCGCCAATAATATATGAAAAATTTGATACATTGTTTTTGCAAAAGTTTGATAGAAAGTCAAAGAATAAATTTAAGTTAGATTTAGGGGGGCTGTAAATTAAAGTAATGTTGACAACATCGATGTTCAGTTGAACATCTATGTTTAGCAATTCGCAAATATTTTCATCGGAAAATTCATATTTTTTTGAATACTCAATGTTTTTTTAACAATAAATCGGTTTCGATTTTTCTCACTGAAGTTTTTTGGAGAACGTTTAGTTTATTAAAATTCAAAATAAACTTGTTTTCTGAATTCATCAATCAATCAATCAATTAGCTTATAAAGCGCTATTTCCGCGATGTTCAACAACGCTCCTCAATGAATTTTGAAAACAGATGGGTCTTGAAATCCGCTCTGAACTTTGCAAGTGATGGAGAAGTAGTCAGAGAAGTAGGTAGAGAATTCCAGAGAAAAGGACCAGAAAAAGCAAAAGCAGATTTGGCGAATGAGTGTTTAACACGAGTTAAAAAAAAAGCGAGAAGAAGAAGACGATCGTAAACCGGGGCGTTTAGGTTCAATTAATATATTTGATAAATACTTAGGAAATAATTTAGATTGAGACTTATACATGAACGTGCAAATTTTAAAAATTATTCTATATTTTATAGGTAGCCAATGCAAGAGAACAAGATATAGAAATATATGAAAAAAGAAAGGGGCACGAGCAACTAGACGAGCAGCAGCAGAGTTAAAAGCTTTACTTAAAGGATAGAGTATACAGTCAGGAAGACCATAGTAGAGCGAGTTACAATAATCAATCCTAGATAAAACTAACGAAGTAACAAGAAGGAGAAGAGTAGGATCATCAAGAAAAGGCAAAAGTTTTTTATTCTACGTAGATGAAAGTAAGAACTTCTAGCAACACTATTAATCTGAGAAGAAAGAGACATAGTAGAATCAAAGATAAAACTTAGACTACGAAACTTATGAGAGACATCAAGAGTTTTAGAATCAGGTAAGATAATAGGAGGAATAGTAATAGAGTGTTTAGATTTATTAAAACAAATTAATTCAAACTTAGAAGGATTAAGTTTAAGACACATAGAGTCAGACCAAGCGATAATTGAAGAAAGACATAGAGATAAATTATGAAGAACACTATTGAGATTAGATGGAGGAAAAGAAGTATAAATGTAAGAATCATCAGCATATAGTTGACTAGAGAAAAAAAAGTTATTAATAATACAAGGTAGTTCAAAAGTATAGAGTATAAATAGAAAAGGGCTAAGGATAGAACCCTGAGGTACCCCGAAAGTAAGAGTAGAGGAGTTAGAAGTAGAATTATTGAGAACAACAGAAAAAAAACGATTACAGAGATAAGAAGAAAACCAAGATAGACAAGAATCAGTAATATTAAAAGAAAGATGCAGCAGTCTCAAGAGAATAGTATGGTCAACAGTATCAAAAACCGAGGAAAAGTCAAGAGCAAGAAGAAGAGTAAGATTACTCTTTGCTGCAAATAAGGCCATATTTCGATTCCGAATGAATCATCATCAGTGCAATTTAATTTATATAGGAAAATATTCACTTTGTCAAAGTGAACTTAGATGAAAATTAAGTGTCAGATTTCTTTATTGGCTGGTCCATCTTCGTTGGTTTTCTTTTCTTCATCGATAGCATCATATTCTTTTTTGTTTTTATTTACAATGCCAGTTTTTATTACTTCTCTGTTTTCATTGTTGATTAGGCGCCGGGTTTGGAGTGAGGTTTTCAATTTTTGTTGTATATTTGTTTTTGGTTTATTGATGTCAATTAGGACTGATTCTTCAATTTTAAGATGCGTGTAGTTGGTGTTCTGGTATATTACTTTGATGTTGCTGTCGAGGATTATAGTGATTGTGTGTGTTGAGTCCAAATGAGATTTGATAGCACCACTTTGTTTATGCTTCGTAAGCCTTCTAGTCATTGAGGTAGTAGTATTCCCAATATATGAGTCATGTTGACGTGCACAGCCGTCAAACGGGCAATTAAATTCATATATTACGTGATTACGCTTTAACACAGAGTTATCTCTAGGACTACAGTTGTTTTTCAGTATTAGGTGAGACGTCTTTTTATTATTGTAATAAATTCGAAGTTTAACTTTACTATTTGGGTTGGTTGACATTTTTATTGATTATATGTTTAAAAATAGCTTCATCTACTTTGTATGCAGTTGACATGGGATTTTTGTTATACAAGATGATGTCGTTATCTTGATTGTTGGTATTAGGAAGGTTATTGTTGTGTAGTTATTTGCTTTTAACAATCTATTCAATAGAATAAGTCTTACACCCATTGTTTACAACCAGGTTGATGATTCTTTTTAATTCAGCGTCGCAATTCTCAATATCGGAAGAGTGTGTGAATGCCAGGTTTACAAATGATTTTATTGTGTTGTCTTTAAATGGTTCGGTACATTCACTTTGTTCACTCAAACAAATTCCTGTATTTGTTTCTTTGACATAGATTGCAGTTTTGAATCGTTCTTCGCCACGGGTGACCAACACATCCAGGAAAGGTAAACGTTGTTCCTTTTCAGTTTCAATAGTAAATCTTAATTTTGATTTGTTTAAGGTACCAAGAAGTAGGGTGATTTGTTCAGGATCGTTATAGGAGACGTAGATATTTGGTTTTAAATTTGCATTATTTTTGAAGGTTTAATTCTCCAGATGTCTTAGGTAAAATGTTATCCATACTGACAGAATAATTATTGGCAGTAATTGAGTTGATAATGTTGGCAGAAATATCCACAATTGAATTTGCAGGCGAGTGTACAGTATTAACGTTAAAATTAGCTGCATTTTTCGTGCAACGAAGTATTGCGATGTCAGGACGTAGGGATTTGAAGGGACAAGACACTGGAGGGATCCCATCATAGTCCACATCTGCATATATCGAAACCTCTGGACCCGCGCATGCTTTCAACCTTTCTGTAATTATGTTTAAAATTTTGTTGTGACGCATTGTGAATCTTTTTAGTGCTGCCACCGAATTGCAATTAGACAGAACATGTTTGTTTGTTTGCTGCGCTTTACACAATGGACAGTCAGCCGTTGATGATTTGCCCCATCTGAACAAATTTGCATTTGTGGGGAGTTGTTGGATGAGACTTTTCGTAACAAATTTGAACAGTACTTCTGGGAGGTTTGCAGTGAATTTTGACCAGTGAGCAATTCTAGCTGCGGGAATCTGATCTTTGATCACTTTTAAAATTGTCTCTTGGCAACGGAGTAGCGATAGATGTTCGAGTTCTGCATTTTGTAGTTTAATCGTTAACATGCTGAGTGCCGGTTTTATGTCCTTTGAGTCAGGAAGCAAATTGTCGATTTTTATATAATTGCTATAGGACTCACTCCATAAACATTTAAGTTCTTCGTTGCCGTTTGATTTCAGGTAGCTACGGAGTTTTAATCTCAATAACATGTTATGTCAACATGGGGGATTTGTTTGATGTCGATCGATAGCGCCGGAAGGAATTGTTCGTAAACCCCGCTGCGTTTTCGCATACCGAACGAGAAACACTTGTCAGTTCTCAAACTCATTCCAGTTGCTTTTGCACCAAGCGTGATTTACATCTATGAGTTTTTGAGCACTTTCGGTGCTGTTGGCGATAATGGCCGTGTCGTCTGCGAACTGAAGCCACGCTCTTGCCTTTAAGCTGGCTGACGGACAAATGTACCCGCATTGTTGGTACTCTGTTCTATGACTTTTATCAGGGGGTTGAAGCAGAGGTTGAAAAGCAGTGGAGACACGGGATCACCTTGCAATACACCACACTTGATTGGAATGGGCGGGGTTAGTTGGTCGCATCCGGAAACTGTGATTGAGTAGTCGGTATATAAATGTTCAATTAGTTTGATAATTTGAGAGGGGATGTGATGAAAATCCAGAGTTGATGATATGAATTTATGGCTGATTTCACCGAATGCGTTGCGAAGATCGAGAAGTGCGACAATAATGGTTCTTTGATGTTTCTTTGCATCGTAGAGTAGGTGAGTTAAAAGCTGATTATGTTCCGTAACACCATCTATTTTTGGGTAGAAGCCCTTTTGGATGTTTTTATTTATAAAATTGTTGATTTCTAAAAATTTGTAAAATCTATTATTTATAAAAGATGAAAATATTTTGTAGAGTGTTGGTTGCAAGGTTATTGGTCTGAAGCTGGAAGGATTGTGAGCGTCTCCCTTTTTGTGGATGAGGATCGTGAAGCCCTTTTTCTAACAAATTGGGATTTTGCCTGTCAACCAGCATTGTATTAATAGTTTGTGTAGAATAGTGCGTAATATAGGGCATTTTTTAAATGAAATTATCGAGATTTGATCGAGTGGGCAAGGTTGTGATCTAGCTTTGTGCTTGCGAACTATTGTAAATATTTCGTGGTATGATGGAGGGCTTGTGTTGCAGAGTGTTGATGGTTTTTGTAGCTGTTGAGTTCAGTTTGGTAGTTGGCATTTTTTCTGGTTATCATCTGATAGTATTTGTTTGAAATAATGTGTGCAATCACTGACGTTGAACAACGGTTTCAAATTTTCTGTCTGGGCAAATATTCTTTTGCATGTCCACCAGAATCGTCGTTTCAGTTGAGACATGATGTTACCACATGATTTACCAGATTTTGATATTTTTGTTGATAACAGTTTGGCTCGCAGTTCTTTACTTGTTGATCTGATAAGATTGTCAAAGCCCTGGTTGTTGCGGCCCAATAATTTTAGTTGCTTCAATTTATTTTTTAATTCTTTAATAGATTTGTTGGAACTTTTATTGTTGTTGTTGATCGTTTGAGGTTTGATGGTGCCATAATTTAAGGTAAAGTAGTCGTAAATCATTTTTTGAAATGTATATGCAAATGCGTCAATGTCGTGGTAGCTTGGCAGTGTATGTAGTTGCAGTTGGAAGTAGGCGTTTGCTTCTGACTATTGTGTCGAAGTTTTTGGTAGTTTGACGCCTGGTAAAGTTGATTCTATTGATTCTGTTGGTGAGGGTGACGAAGTAGATGTCGAATTATTTGATAGTTCTGATGGTTGCTGCTCCGAGGTTGGTGAGGTTGCATCTACGTCGCTTGCAGGGTTGTCTGCTAATTTAAGTTGATGCATTTTACATGAACGTTGATGCATAATAATGTGTCTTTTTACTTGAATAAAATCCTTATCGCAATACGGGCATTTACTTGCATTAATTTCGTAAATTAAATTTATTAAAATAATTAAAATAAAATAGTAGACTTTATTAAAATTAAATTTTAAAACCACCGCCATATTCCACACAATTTTATCAACACGGTACAACAATTTTAAAACCAATTAATCAACTAATAAAAACGTAATTATGCATAAAACTGTAAGCTGCACGAAATCGGCCAACTCTCGTGTTTCACGTTCGCATAATATAATAGTAATAATAATAATAACAGCTTATATATATATATATATATATATATATATATATATATAAGTTAATGTTAATTAAATAATGCGCAATGATAAAATCTGTAAAAATAATATTAAAGGTTAAGACCATTTTGCTCATTGTGAAGTTAAGTGCAGAACGGTGAAATATATTTAATTAGCATCATAACTTGTTCCTGTCATAGTAAATGTCATACGATAATCTTATAACAGTGATAATAATAATAATAATAATAATAATAATAATAATAATAATAATAATAATAATAATAATAATAATGGGATCTCTTTTATTTTTTTTCCAAAAAAGGGGCGAAATAAATATTCAATGAAATAAAATAAAATAAAATGAATTAAAATGAGAAAGTAGTCTACGATGCTCGCCATTATAGATATAAAATGCGTACAACGAGAAATGTAATCAGTCTTAATAAAGTTATTATACATTTGAATGTCTGTCGCAATAGATGGCGTATGATGATGATATTACTGAATTAGTTAAATTATAACATAATTGTTCAGCCCAATAATAATAATAATAATAATAATGTGAACATATTTTATTTATTCAATCGACAAAATAAAATTCAAAATAATAAGAAATGAAAAATAAAATGAAGTTTAATAAAAGTTGAGTTTTAATGAAATGTACGATCCTCCTAAGCTCGATGACGTTACAAGGGCATAGGAGTGAAAGATATATTTAATTATGCATTGTTTCTCTCGCATTATATACTATATGTCGAGCTAATAACAGTATTAATTAATTTTACTTTAAAATAATTTGGCCATGTAGTTTTAAAAATAGATAGGTTCAAGTTATTATAAAAACCAATTGGCGATATCTCAAATGTGTTAACTGTTATAGAGCATTTTATAAAGTTATTATTTAAATGTTGTTTCAGATTTTTGTACTTTGCACTTTTATATTGTTTAGATGAGAGAAGGTTAGTCTCATGACATATCGTCAACTCGATCACCTCTATTTTTCCACCCCGCAGAACAGTAACATCTAGCAACATTCGTAGCGTGTGAAACAACTGTGTTATTGGGCGTACATTTTCGGATTCCAAATCAGCAAATATGCAACAGTCGATAGGAGCCTGAGCTTTTATCTCGTTTATGATCACCGCCAATATTTTGTTATGTCTTTCGGTGTATCGTGCCAGTGCCAGTGCCGATGTTGAACAACAGTTAGACACGACATGATTTTTTGTCTGGAGAACGCTGCAGAGCGGACATAAAAGAGTCGTAGTTTTGCCCCATTGAAACATATTTGAATTGGTGGGCAATTGTTGAACCAGGTATTTTCTTATGAACCTGTAGAATATCCCGGATAACTTCTCAGTAGTTTTGAACCAACAAGTTATTTGTGCTGGGCTTATATGCTGGCCAATAGCTTTGAGTATGATTCCCTGAGATTGCAGTCCGCTGATGTGGTTGAGACACGATTTCTTTTTGTCATTCTCCAGAAGCTTAAGAGACAGCTTTAGTGAGCCTGTTTCGTCCAGCGAGCTATCTGATTTGAAGTTGTTTCGCTCCATAGGCATTTGATTTCATCACTAGTGTTGTTTTTTAGATAGCTGCGGATTTTCAATTTTATTTTTTCTGAAGTCTCTTTTAATGACACAATGTTGTTACCGCCATGTTTCGTTTGCAGCGAAAGTATTTGCGATACACAACCGCTAATAGGTTGATGTAGCTTACTGATTGATGTAGCGGTGCCCGATGATAATAATGTTATACAAAAAGAGATCGAAAAAATTTGGAAATATAAAGATCTTCAAATTGAAATACAAAGAATGATGGCATACAAAAGCAAAAGTAATTTCAGTGGTAGTGGGAGCTCTTGGGACAGTTAGTAAAAATTTGGAAGAAATGCTAAAGAAATTACCAGGATTACCAGCGCTGGCTAAAGTTCAGAAGATAGCATTACTAGGAACAGCAGGAATTATAAGAAAAATATTTGGATGAATCTCTTTGGGATCTGGATGAACCCTGGATTCACCATCAACCAGCTTTTAGAAAGGCTGTGCATGTCAAAAAAATAAAATAATAATAATGAAAACATCCTTTTATTTTATAACTCCAAATATCAAATATCAATAATGAAATAATTATAAAATCCTATTAATCTAAAATGCTCGAGCAACGTCGAAATAGATCTATCTGCAATAATTTTGATAAAATATTTGTTAAAAAAAATAAAGCTTCAATTTTAAACAGACTCACTCTTGTTGATGAAAATTTACTAAGACAAATTGAAAAATTCAAATACATACATATATATTGTCGGAAATTTTTAAATGAAAACAACTGGTGTGAGGTAAACTCCTCCTCTATCTTTCTCAGGGAATTTTTTTATGGTCCGACAATATTTTTTGTGTATATTTTTATCGTGAGTTCGACCAGTCCTGTGTGGCACTGGGCTTTTTCGAATTATATGATTTTACTGAGTAACACACGAACGCGTAAAAATATTCGATAACAATTTTATTAATCGACGGAAGTAAATGAAAAGGAATTGAACTAAATAATGTAAAATGTCAATGAACAAACTGGAATACAGGAATTAGAACTTCTTCTTGTTGGGTCTTTGACTTGGGATATGTTTCTTGCCGTTTAATCGTACAACCTCGACGTGTGTAACCGATAGTGATGTCATTACAACTCCAAGAAATAAATAAAATGAATGCGGAAAAATTACAAAAATCGGAGCCTATGGAAATTGCAAGCTGCGTGTGAAACTATACCAATGAGTATAGAATCCAGCAAAGAACCCTAGGTCCACAAATAGCACAACAAAAACAAAACAACGAGGCGGATTCGTTTTCACAGAATCCAAGGCCTGTTTTCACTGGGCCTGTCTGTCAGTCGGTCGGCTTTCGCACAACCTTGGCCTGTTTTCACTGGGCCGTCGAGTCTGATCGGCTTTCGCACGACCAAGATTAAATGTGCAAATATTTCCAAAACATGCTACGTGAAATTTTTTAGCGATGTAATAATTGTTCAAAACTATGCAATTTTAACATTCTTAACGAATTATGCAAAAAAATTAGTTCGCTGGAACGTAAGTTTGACGACTTAAAAAAAGTAACTTTATTAAATAACAATAGAAGCGATGCTATGATTAAAAACTTATTTAGAGAAAACTCCTTGCTTTTGAATAAGTTGAATAGAGATGTCTTAGATTTTACTAAAGAAATAAATAATTTTATGCTTAAAAATGATAAGGTTACGTCTACCACTACACGAAATGAAATTAAAAGCGATGCTAACATAACTGACTTGTTCTCAACGGCCAGGTTCAGTAACTTTCCTCCATTACAATTAAATGTTGTGGGTGGTGTAACTGATATAACTAGTGCAAATAGCGGTTGTACTGACGAATCTGGCTATCAATCTAATCAAACGAAAAAATTAACAAAAAACATCAAAGCAACACATAAATAAAATAAAAGCATTAGTATTAATTAGATCAGCCTCTGGACGGCATTGACTTGATTATTGGAAACATTACAAATGTAAAAGATTGTAAAAGATCTGATGTCATACAGTGGCAGAATGAAGTAAACAGGTCCATGGCGATTACCAAAGCACAGAGTAGAAGAGAAAAAGATCTAAAAAAACTAGATCAAAACTATATGCAGCCACAATTTATCGCAGAAAAAATTATTTTGGGAGTTGATGATGAGGATGAGGATGGAGTTGATTGTAACAGTGATGAGATGAATAAAAATAACAACAATGGTGATAAGATGAATAAAAATAATAACAGCAGTGATAAGATGAATAAAAATAATAACAACAGTGATGAGATGAATAAAAATAGTAACAACAATGAAAGATGAATAAAAATAATAACAACAGTGATGAGATGAATAAAAATAATAACAGCAGTGATAAGATGAATAAAAATAATAACAACGGTGATAAGATGAATATAAATAATAACAACAGTGATGAGATGAATAACAATAATAACAACAGTGATAAGATCAATAAAAATAATAACAACAATGATAAGATCAATAAAAATAACAGCAACAGTGATGAGATGAATAAAAATAGTAACCACCCAAATAAGCTGAGGAAAAATGAAAACATAAATACATAAATACAGTGAACATGGCAAACGAACAGTTGGAAGATTCTTTTTTAAAAAAATTGATTCGGCATCAAAGAAAAGATCTAAATGCCTTGATCATAAAACAAGAGGATTGAATTTATGTCAGAAAAGTTAACCTCATGACTGGACTGGTAAGACAGTTGATCGTAACACAAAGATACAGACATAGAATTTTGGAATTGGCTCACGACACGCCTTTTGCGGGACATATGGGTGTCAAAAGAACTTTAAACAGGATTTTAAAAGAATTTTATTGGCCAAACATCAGATTGGCCAAACATCACCAAAGATATCAAGCAGTATGTCGAACATGTCATAGCTGTCAGATCCATGGTCAAAAAGGTTCATACGTTCAGGCACCAATCCAAACGGCATCGACCGCAGAGTTACCATTTCAGAAGGTTGCGGTGGATATCGTGGGACCGATGCCGGTGTTGTCTAAGAGTGGTCACGGATACAATTTTACAATAATAGATATGTGTACTCGTTTTCCTGAGACCATACCATTGAAACATAATATAACAACAAAAGATGTAGTCGACGCTTTGATAACAGTAAT